CACAGCCATAAGTCAAAATTGGAACAACAACTTTATCAAAAAGATCTAACTGACATTCAATTGGTAAGTTAAATTGTCTTATCTTCCTTATAACACCATACATTGCTTTCTGTGCTTGTTCACATAAATGTTTTTTGGCCTTACAAAATGAACCTGAGCGTGAATATATTATCCCAAGATACTTGAATTCTTTTACATTTTCAATTGCATTATTATTATAATAAAATACCTTTTTTGACATTGGTCCTTTAGAAAACACTAGAATTTCTGTCTTACTAACATTAACATTAAGTTTCCATTGTGAACAATACAAATAAAAATCATCCAAAGCCTTTTGCAGATCTACGTCTGTTTCAGCCAAGATAACAGTATCGTCTGCATATAACAAAATGAAAAGCTTAAGATACACATATAATTCTTCTTCAATAGCGTCAGTTATGCTTTGTAAACCAATAATATTTCTGTCCGAGAGAAACTCTTCCAGGTCATTAATATATAAGGAAAATAAAAAAGGCGATAGATTTTCACCTTGGCGAACACCAACATTACAGTTAAAATAATCTGTGATTGTGCCATTCAGATTTATCATAGATTTAATTCCTATATACATATTTTTGATGTAGTTAAAACATTTTCCACTAACCCCACTCTTAAATAGCTTATGCCACAATCCAGATCTCCAAACCGTATCAAAGGCTTGTTTAAAGTCAATGAAAGCGCAGAAAAGTTTTTTCTTTCTTTGAAAAAAAATCTGACATAAAAACTGTAAGGTAACTATATGATCTAAAGTTGAGTACCCTTTTCTAAACCCTGTTTGACTCTCATTAATTAAATTTACTTCTTCAGCAAATGTTTCCAAACGTGTGCATAAAATACTTGTAAATAATTTTCCTAAGCAGCTCAATAATGTTATGGGTCGATAATTTTCTGGTTGTGTTGGATCACCTTTATTTTTATAAATAGGTTTAACAATGCCAATTAACCATTCATCCGGGACGGTACCTGAATCAAATATTAAATTGAACAGTTTTCTATATACGGGTAAAAATACAGTAATTGTTGAAGTAATATGTTCATTAAACACTTTGTCAAAACCACATGCTTTGTTATTTTTAAGCTTTTTGACACTGTTCAGTATTTCTTCATCACTGATAGCACAGTTTAGGATATCAACTGAAAAATCATTTGAAAAATTCGCTACATCTTCCTGTTCATCTAAGTTATCAGGAACAACATTACAATTTTTATCTTCATTCATATCTTTCAAAAAATTATACATGTCATTTATATCAACAGCACATTTCTTATTTTTATCGGATGCATTCAAAATTTTCCAATAATCTTTGGGATTTGTAGAATGCAAATCTTTGAGTTTTTTGGCAATATTCTTTCTATTATTTTTTATGCTCTCATCCATTGTTTTCTTATATATTTTACTCATAGCATTCAAATTACGCTTGTTTTCGGTCGATTTATTTCGATTATACATACGTTTAGCGAGATGAAACTTTTTTCTAGCGTTTCTACAGTCCCGATTAAACCATTGCTTATTACAATTATTTTCAACCCCAGCCCTTCTATCTTTATGGTACCCAAATGTTTCTTTTGCTGCACTAAAGAACATGTCACATATATCGCGTGTTACAAGATTGATATTTTCCTTTGTTACATGAGTATTATCACCGCCTAAATCATCAAGTTTACTTTCAATGTTATTTACAGTAAGTGTTTCAATATTACCACAGAACTCCACTGATTTGTTAGGACACCATAATTTTACACCTGAGTGATTTACACCTGTGTCGTTTGAAATAACAGTCTTACAACTAGATAAAGATACTGATAAGGCATTATGTACATCAGAATATAGGTTACAAAATTCGACAACATCAAAATCACTAAACAAATCAAAAATATGCACACTGGCTAAAACATAATCTACAGTGCTGCTATTTTTACAAGTTAAATCTCCCTTAAGTTTGTCGTTGCCTACACGACTATTTACAATATACATTTCATTATTCCTACAAAAATCAATCAATTTATGCCCATAGTTAACTAAGCTCATTCTACGAGTGGGGTAAATTAGATGTGGATCCTCAAAACCCCAAAGAACTTTTAGAAACTTCAAAATCACCAAATTTTTCAAAAGTCTATAAATCAAAACTTACGACTTTTCTTCACCTTGTACAACAATTCCTCACGATAAAGGATGACTGCACTTAAGGACATGCGGAATTTGCGACAAAATAAACTTTCAAAACAAGCATTTTTCTTTTCATTGCAAGAATGGTCAACATCCAATCTACAACTTTATGTAATTACGTTTAATAAAAAAGTGTATTTACGAAGTTCGAATCTGTTTTCAAAGGCAGGGTTCATCACGATTTCTTGAATCTCCGTTCGATAATGAGGACGCCCACTTTTTTGCTGACTTTATACATAGTCAGCGCATGTTTGTCTATTGTTCTACGTTTAACAGTAGTTGTATAATTGCATAAATAATAATGTGTCAAAAGGAGATTAATAGACAAATATGCGCTCATTGTTAAAAAGAGAAAAAAACTGCTTCTTCTTACATTCGCTCTCTGTGTTGTAACCAAGGATTGTGACATGTTGAATATTATAATTCACCACCTGATTTCTTACCTCAGGTAACTTTGTGAATACTAAATTCCGTCACGTGACTTGTAAGGTAGCATGTTTTGTACTAACTAGGACACTGTGTTCGAACACGTTAAGTCATCTGGCATTGATATAAAATCTGCTTTAATTACATTGACGTGCTCATATTGTTGATTTCGTTTTGAAACCTTTCTCAGTAGTGTATTTGTGCCATACAGAATGTAGAGGGAGATTGGAAAGAGTGATCACGTTCGCTTTTCCAAACATGTCATTGTTATTTATCAACTCTAAGTTTAGACCCATTCTTACAGTGTTAGCTCCACCTCTCATACATATGTAATGTTCAATCAAGGGCAGGTAAGTGTAAATTCACTATATTTGGAAAGCAGTAAGGACAAAAAACATTGAATCATTTTATTGTATCACAGTCTAAAATCATTTTAAGATTTAAATGTGGTTCCAAATTGACAGAATTCTTTCATAAACATACAAAAGTGAAATAAGGTTTAGATATAAAAGCAACAGAAGCAACCGAAAAAGACCCAAAAACAGGCGTTAAGTGCAGTCATCCTTTAAATCTAGACTTTTTGATATCATAGACAACTGCTTCTTAAATAAAGACGGAACTAGGAAATTTTCACATTTTGTGATTGGTCATCAGCAAAATTACTTCGTTAAGAACCACTCTGATTGTACACACAAGTACTCCGATGTTGATATTAAAAGGATGCTGGAGTTCCTCATTGACAACATTTATGTAGTCTTCGGAGACCAGGTCTTCCAACAAACTGTTGGAATTTCGATGGGCACTAATTGTGCTCCTTTGTTAGTTGACCTGTTTTTATATTTCTATGAAGCAGAATTTATTCAAAAATCTTCTACACGAGTAGAGTAAAACACTAGCTGTGGCCTTCAATTTGACATTCAGATGTATCGACGATGTTTTATCAATTAACAATAGTTATTTTCATTCGTATTTCGAATAGATATATTTACTAAACTGTGACAAATGAGATGACTTTAGCTTTTCCGGTCTATCGTCAACTTTCCTTATTTATGTAGCAATATTCCACTATCACCTGCATATGGTGTTTATTCGCTACTCAAGACCTTGTCCTGAGTACGATCAATTTTTAAAGCCAGACAGGCTACTTACTGATAAGTTGATGTTACAGGGATTTCAACAGCCTCGTTTAAAGTCAGCATTTCTTAAGTTTTATGGTCTTTATAATGACCTAACCTATCATTGGGTCGTACTTTGGTTGACTTGTTTCATACCAATTGTTAGTCTTTCTTTTTGTACTGAATTGACTACGGATAGTTACGTCTACCTGATCAATACATAGGGCTCACGGCGGGTGTGACCGGTCGACAGGGAATGCTTACTCCTCCTCTTCAGTCTGCTATTTGTTGCCCGCGTGGCGCAGTAATAAGAGCGTTCGCTCTAGAAGTCGCGGAGTAGCGAGTTTATCCTTACGTCGTGGGTTCGAATCCCATTGTGGGACGTGGAGACCGGTCCTTTGGATGAGAACGTATAAACCGAGGTCCCTTGTCGCAGTAGGTGCTGGCACGAAAAAGATCCCTCACTGCTTAATGGCCCCAAGTGCCGAGTAAAGGTCAAAATTTGCTACTCTCCACCGGCAAGTGGTGGCGTCTCTACAGGCCTGTAGGAAGCAATTTCACTTGGGGGGGGGGGGGGGGCACAGCCATAAATTTTCAGTTGAGGGGGCACTATTAACTACCAAAAATTTCTTGACAAGCAAAATTATTTGGGGGGGGGCACGGCCCCCCCGTGCCCCCCCCCCCCGGTTCCTACGGCCTTGCTCTATATGAGTGGGAAATTATCGAGAGGGACGTTAAACAATCAGTCTTGCTATTTTAATTGAAGTCCAGTTCAGATAACTTAATTCAGCTACAATGCTAGCTAGCTCTATTTATCTTTTTTTTCAAAGGATTAATTTATTGATAATATTTTTGCAATGAAGTTCGGGCTGGTAAGTTTTATTAAATACATCGACATTGGCTAGCTAGCGTACGTACATGTTCAACGCCCCTAGGTAATAAAATAAATCAAAAAGGGGAAAATATAGCAGATTAAATAAAAATAGAAGCCAAAGGTTCTATTCATGGTATTACAGATTTATTAGGGGAAGCAGAATTATAAAGAATAGCATTCGTCTTACAATAACTGGTACAAATTGTCCAGGAGCGAGTTTACTTGGACACGATTTCAATAAATAGCACATTTTCACGTGGTAGCACACGTTCCAAAACAAGCATAGTTCAGGAAAGCTGGGATATTTTGTGAAAGCACAAAATTTAGTGATATTTTGTGATCGACAAGCTTACTTTTTTTTCTAGATACCGTAAAATTCACTTTTCGATATACTAAATATTTCAGGATAGGCTTTATCTGTTTATAGTGTTGCTGAGGAAAGGAAGCAACACATCTGTAAATCGATCTCTGCGCTCAAAAT